GGGGGGGCCGCCTGGCAGAGCGATGACATCACAGCGCCACAGCCCAGCCAGGGCCACCACTGCTGCTGGCAATGATGGGAACAGCCCCTGGATGGATGGAGACGCACCCTGTGCTCCCCAGCACTGCCTGGAACACCACCCTGAGCCTGGAAAAGCAACTCCTGTGGGGACAGGGCCTCCAGAAAGAACTGAGTGGGAAAATGGGACTCATTTCCAAACCAGCCTCATGGACAACTGGGCCAGAGAGCACAGGACTGAGTGGGTATTTCATATTCCCTGTCAGGCACCAGCCCTGGGGAAGCTGAACAGTGCAAGGGACTGCTAAAAATCACCTTGAAAACACTGGGTGGTGGGACACTGGGAGCTGCATTTAGCAAAAGCCATGTGGTCAGTGAACACGGGAGGCTCCACCAGCACAGCTGGYCCTGCCCAATCCAAACCTCCATGTGCCTCAGAAGGGGGATAATGGTGATGCCTATGAGAAATGCATTAGGGATGCCAGTTTGGATCAGTTCTGCCTTGAGTAAAGGCAAACCCATCCCAGGAATTGTTTTTGCACAAGGGCCTGGGTGCACTTGGTGGGAGATGCAGAGAGATGAGGAAACATGATGCGTCCCTCAAGGGGCTTTGATTTTGGGGTGAGAACAGTCTGTACTGTTGAATTGTTTAACACTGGGTGCTGAATGACACTGACACTGTTTGCTATAAATGCCATGGCCAGTGAGGATGGACAGCTCCAGACACACCAGTCATGAGCTCCTGYTGCGGCCACCAGTCGAGAGCACAGCCACCCTGCTGCCCTGGGAGATAGCCAGGATGGACAGAACCCATAGCCGTGGACTAAATGGACTTCACAGACATCTTGGAGGGATGACCGTTGAGCTTGGAAATTATACTCGTGCTTGTGTAAATCCATATCTGTATATATCTATATCTATCTCTGTATATATCTATATCTCTGTATACATCTATATCTATCTATATATCTATATCTATATCTATAGCTATATCTATATCTATATCTATAGCTATAGCTATATCTATAGCTATATCTATAGCTATATCTATAGCTATATCTATAGCTATATCTATACCTGTATCTGTATCTATATCTGTATATTCCTACATCTATATCTATATTTATGCATCTATATCTATACATATATCTGTACCTTTATCTATACCTATACCTATATCTGTATTTGTGTCTGATTGGAAGATGTAGGATCTGGGCATAGGTAGATGGTACAGAATAAGAGATGGGAAATGTCCTGGTTCCATTTAGCACAGAGTTAAGGTTTGGCTGGGCCCTCTGGACCCATGAAACACATCCAAGTTTGCTCACACCAGAGACACCTTTCCCTTGTTTGTCCCGACCTGTCATCACTGCCTCCAGTGTTCTGCTCTTATTGGAACCTGGARACACTTTCTCAGTCATGTCCCTCTGTGGGACCCATTAATACTGCAAGAAACTTTGGACTTTGAATCTTACTTTGAGTTCTTGAGAAGTTTTTTTAACTCTCTCAGGGACTGAGTCTGATGTAAACAATACCAAAGCCCTGAGAGGCTCATTAAAGCCCTGGTGCTGTTGCTGCTGAGCTGGGCYGGGCTCCTGGCACAGAGGGAGCTCCTGGAAACCAAGAAGAGCTTCAAAAAGACATTTCTGCTGATGAGCAGCTCCTCTCCCAGTTCATCAGGGCTAAGGGCGCTGCCTGCAGGTACTGAGGGGAGAGGAGCCAGGAAGGGACAGGATAAAGGGAATCAGGATTGGGAAGACTCTGAGCTGAGACCTCACCTGGGGAAATTTCTTCAGAGCCCTCTCCAGGATGCGTGTGGATGCAGGAAAATGTCCCCTGTGTTCCTGGAGGGATCTCCTGAAGCCGGCGCACCCCACAGCCTGAGGGATGGGTCAGGGGATTCTCTTGTTTCGAGGAGGAGGAGGTGGGGGGGAGGAGGAAGGTCCTGGGATAGCAGAGGAGGATGGGATGGGATGGGATGAGATGGGATGGGATGGGATGGGATGGGATGGGATGGGATGGGATGGGATGGGATGGGATGGAGGGGATGGGATGAAGGCTCCGGGAATGATGGAAAGTTCTGACCGCACACGATGGGGGGGGTGGGGTTGGGTGAGGAACCCAAAACGGGACAGGAGAACCCCAAAATGAGATCAGGGATCCTGAAATGTTATCAGGGACCCCAAAAAGGACAGGGGACCACTAAATGGGACAGAGGAACCCCAAAAAGGGACAGGACAGGGGCAGAACAGGGACAGAACGGGACAGAGGGATCCCAAAATGGGATTGGGGACCCCCAAATGGGACCGGAGGACCCCAGAATTTGGGGACACTTCCGAGCTTTGGGGACACTCTCGGGGACACGGGGCCAGCGGTGTCACGTGTGCGTGTCACCGGTCACCTGCATGTCCCCGTGTCCCCTCCCCTGTCCCCTTTACCCGCTTCCTGTCCGCAGGGTTGTGCAATAGGTGTCACCTTTGTTCCCTCCCTCCCACTCTGGGTACAATCCTGGCCCGGGGCCACCCGCAGAGGACACCGGGACAGGGTTGGAGACGGTGCCCCAAGTGTCCCCACAGTGTCCCCGAAGCATCCCCACCGCTGTCCCCAAGTTGTTCCCGTGGTGTCACTGGCCCCACAGTGTCCCCACGTTGTCCCCGGCATTGTCCCCGATGTCCCCAGATCTGTCCCCATGGTGTCTCCACGGTGTCAGTGTCCCCAAAGTGTCCCCAACCCTGCCCCAACCCCACGTTGTCTCTACTCCTGTCCCCGTGCTGGTGCCACCCTCCCCCGATGTCCCGAAAGGGTCCCCGTGCCGTCCCCGGTTCGGCCAGGACAGAGGTCGCTCCGGTGCCACCTCCGCCCTCCGGGTGCCACCTCCGCCCCCTTTAAACCCCGGGGATTGTCCCCAGGTGTCTCCAAGCGCCACCATGGCTCCCGTCCTGGTGGTCTTGCTGGCCCTGGTGGCGCTGCTGTCACTGCTGTCGCGACATCGCGCGACCGCCGCACGGCTCCCGCCGGGCCCTCCTCCGCTGCCGCTGCTCGGGAACCTCCTGCAGGTGTCCCCGTTCCGCACGCTTCGGTCCCTGCTCAAGGTGGGGATTTCGGGATTTTTTGTGGATTTTGTGGAATTTTGGGAGATTCGGAGTTTTATTCCGGGATTTTTGGGGTGAAATTCTGGGATTTGAGGGCGATCTCAGGGTGTTTTTAGGGGATTTTCAGGGAGGGTTGGGCGGTTTGGAAGGGTTGGAGGGACCCCCTCTGTACCCTCCAGTCCCTGATCAAGGAGAGGAATTTTGGGGATTTTTGGGAGATTTGGGTTGTTTTTTTTTCTGGGGGGTTTGGGGTTCGGAGGTGTTGGGCAGCTCCAGGTGTCCCCATTCCACACGCTCCCATCCCTACTCAAGCTGGGGATTTGGGGGATTTTGGGCAATTTTTGGGAATTTCATTTTTTTTTTTCCTGGGAGTTTTGGGGTGAAATTGGGCGATTTTGGGGGCATTTTAGAGGAGTTTAAGACCCTCCCTTATCTTCCAATCCCTGCTCAACGTGCAGATTTTTGGGAATTTTTGGGGGAATTTTGAGGGGAAGTTGGGAAATTTCTGGGCAGTTTTGGGGTGGTTTTAGGAAATTTTGGGAGGTTTGGGGTGGATTTGGGACCTCCAGTGCCTTCCAGTTCCTGCTCCAGGTGCAAATTTTGGGGTAATATTGGGGATGTTTGGGAATTTTGGGGCAGTTAGTGGGTTTTTAGGGGAATTTGGGGAGGTTTCGGGTAGGATTTTGTTGCAATTTTATGGAATTTGGGTCCATTTAGGGCCATTTTTGTGTGATTTGGGTCAGTTTTCAGGTATTTGGGTGAATTTGGGCTGATTTTTAGGTTTTTTTTTTTTTATTTTGGGGTTCTCTGACCCACTGACCCCTCCCCAGCTGAATGACCAGTATGACCCAGTGTCCACAGTTCAGCTGGACTCAGTTTGAGTGGATTTTTATGGGATTTGGATAAATTTGGCTGGATTTTCTTGGGATGTAAGCCATTTTTTCCAAGGCTTTTTTTTTTGATTTTGGGTCTCCCTGACCCCACTGACCACTCCCCAGCTAAGTGACCAGTATGGCCCAGTGTTCACGGTGTGGCTGGGCTCCCGGCCAGTGCTGGTGTTGCGCGGGACTGAGGCTGTGCGCGAGGCTCTGGTGGGGCAGGCTGAGGCATTTGCAGGGCGGGGGCGGATGCCCACTCTGGAAAGCACCTTCAGGGGCTACGGTGAGACCCCAAAAACTGCCCCAAAAACACCCCAAAATACCCCAAAGATCACCCCAAAAGTTCCTGCTGCAAAAACAGCCCAAAAAACAGCCAACYCCCCAAAATCCCAAAAATCACCCTAAAACCATCCCAAAAAACATCCCCAAACCACCCCAAAACATCCCATAAAAATCCCCGAAAACACCCCCAAAACCCCAAAACCATCCCACAAAACACTCAAACCACCTCAAAATGACCCCCCAAAACACACCAAAAACTCCCCCCCAAAAACCATCCCAAAAACACCGCAAGATCATCCCAGACCCCCCACCCTTGAGAGCACCTTCAGGGGCTACAGTGCGACCCAAAAATGTCCCAAAACCACCCCAAAAACCTCCCCAAACCCAACTCCAAAAATACAAACAAAGCCAGCCCAAAAATACCCTCAAAACCACTCTGCAACATCCCAAAAAAATCACAAAAGCCTCCCCAAAACACCCCCCAAACCCACCACAAAACAGACCCAAACCACCCCAAAAACTCCAAAACCCGCCCCAAAACCTTCCCAAAAAATCCAAAAAATATCCCAAAACCACAGCCGAACCACCCCATAAAAAAAACCAAATCCACACCAAAAATACCCCCGAAACACCCCAAAACATCTCAAAAACTCCACACAAACAGTCCCAAAACCACCCCAAAATATTCCCCATAAACCCTGACCCCCCAAATTTCTGTCCCCATGGAATTTTCCCCATTCCCATAACTTTCCCTATTCCCCATGGATTTTGCCCCTTCCCATAAATCTGAATTTATTTTCCTATGGATTTCACCTTTCCCCTGGATTTTCACATTTTCCATGGAATTTTCACATTTTCCCTGGATTTTTCCCCATTCCCCATGAACTTTTCCCCTTCCCATAAATCCATATTTCTTTCGCCATGGATTTTCCCTCATTTCCTCTGGATTTTTCCCATTTCCCCTGGATTTTTCCCCATTCCCTGTCGAATTTTCCTGATTTCCATAATTTTTAACCTCTCCAGGGGTGGTTTTCTCGGACGGGGAGCGCTGGCGGCAGCTCCGCCGCTTCTCCCTGACAGTGCTCCGGGATTTCGGGATGGGCAAGAGGAGCATCGAGAGCCGGATACAGGAGGAGGCCCAGGAGCTTCTCCAGGAGTTCCAGAAAACCCAGGGTACCAAAATTCCAGGATTTTTTTTTGTTTTAGAACCCAAAAAACCACACAGAAAATGTCCTAAAGTGGTCCTTCTCGCCCCCCCCCAAAAAAAAAAAGCACTGGAATCAGCCCAAAATTGTACTAAAACTACAGTGAAAATACTGGAAAGTTATACCAAAAATTAGCCCAGAACCACCCCAAAAATACCCCAAAATTATTTTTATAATCCCCCAAAATGCACCAAAATCAGCCCCAAATCAGCCCAAAACTACCCCAAAAATACTCCAAAATGATCCCAAAATATCCTCAAATTATCCCAGAAAATCAACCCAGAAAATGTGCCCAAATCGGCCCAAAATGATCCTTAAAAACTGCATAGGAATCAGCCTAAGACCACCCCAAAATTATCCCCAATAATCATCCCAGAAACCACCCCAAAAATAACCAATAATTATCTCAAAATTATCCCAAAATACCACCCAAAAATACCCCCAAATGATCCCAAAATACCCCGAAATGATCCAAAAACATCATCCTAAAAAACTGCAGCAAAATTGGCCCAAAATCATCCTGAAACTACAGAAGAAAAACCCCAAAGTTATCCCAAAAAATCATCCCAAAAAACACCCTAAAATATCCCAAAATAATCTCTGAAAAAGTCCCCCCAAATGCACCGAAATCAGCCCATAATCATCACAAAAACACCCAAAAAATACCCCAAAATTATCCCCAAAAACTACACCAAAATCAGCCTAAAATAATATCAAAACCACCCCCAAAATATCCCAAAATTATCCCCAAAAGATCCGAAAATACCCAATTATCCCCAAAAATCATCCCAAAAAACCACAGCAAAAATACCCCAAAATCATCTCAAAAAAGCCCCAAAACCAGCCTGAAAATACCCGCAAAAATACCCCAAAATTATCCCAAATACCCCAAAACTATCCCAAAAAATCATCCCAAAAAGCCACCCAAAAAGAACCCCAACATCCCCTGAAAATATGCCAAAATTATCCCAAAAACCACACTGTAACCCATCTGAAACAATCCACAAAACCACCCTAAAAATTCTCCAAAACTTCTCCAAAATCCCCCCAAATACCTTTTTTTCCTGGAAAAAATCCCAGAAAACCCCAAAAATTGGGATTTTGCCCCCAGATTCTGCTGGAAAAGCCTYCTCAGGAAAAAAAAAAAAAAAAAATCCCAGAAAACGCAAAAAACCCCATGGGATTCCACCCTGAAATTCCACAGGGAAACCCCAAAAAACTGGGATTCCACCCTGAAATTCCACAGGAAAAAATAAAAAAAAAAAAAAAACAAACAAAAAGAAAGCTTATTTTACCCCCAGAATTATCCCAAAAGCTACCCCAAGAAGGCCCTGAAAGCACCCCAAAATTATCCAAAAAAATCATCCCATAAAACAACCCTAAAACCACCCCAAACTGCCCCAAAATTCCCCAAAACCACCCCAAAATTTCCCAAAGGTATCCCATATTTTTTTTTCTGAGGAAAAAAATCTGGGTAAACCCCAAAAATGCCAGATTGCACCCCAAAATTGCATAGGGAAAGCCTTCGACCCCACGTTCCTGCTGAGCTGCGCCGTCTCCAACATCATCTGCTCCATCGTTTTTGGGAGCCGCTTCGATTACCACGATCCTGAATTTCTGGAGATGATGCAGCTGATCAACAACAGCTTCCGGGAGATGAGCACGCCCTGGAGCCAGGTGGGATTGTTTGGGAATTGTTTGGGAATTTTTTTGATTTTTTTTTTAATTTTTGGAAAATTTTTTAAAATTTTTTGGGTTTTTTTTTTTATTTAAAATTTTTTTGGGGGATATTTTTCTGATTTTTTTGGCTTTTTTTCTTTTAATTTTGGGGGGATTTTTTAGGAATTTTTAGGGGATTTTTTTTTCTTTTTAAAAAAATTTTTTTGGGGGATTTTTTTTAAATTTGGGGGGATTTAGGGGGAAATTTGAGGGATTTTCTAAAGTGGAATCACAGGGATTCCCAAAATCTGGAATTTTTGGAAGCAGTGAATGAGAGGATTTGGGATTTGGGGTAAACGTGGGAATTTTTGGGGGTTATGGGCAATTTTCAGGGATTTTGGAGGGGTTTGGGAACAGCTTCACTCCCCCAGATCCCAAATTCTTGCAGTTGTAGAGATTTTGGGATTTTTTTTTTTCATTTTTGGGGTGTTTGGGGGTGGTTTTTGGATGATTTCAGGGTGAATTTTAGGGGGTTTTCTTGGGATGTTTTTGGAGTTGTTTTTTGGGGTGGTTTTGGATTTATTTTTGTGTCATTTTGGGGTGGTTTTGGGATGAATTTGGGATGGTTTTGGGGTGTTTTGGGATGAATTTGGGGTGGTTTTGGGGTTTTTTTTGGGGTTGTTTTTGCTGTATTTTGGGCTGTTTCCAGGGTGTTTTTGCAGTGATTTTGGGATGAATTTGGGGTGTTTTTGAGGTTTTCTGATGTTTTCTGGTGTCGTTTGGGAGTTGGTTTTAGGCATTGTTTTGGGGTGCTTTCGGGGTTGTTTTGGGGGTGGTTTTTGGGATGATTTTGGGGTGTTTTTTTTATGAATTTGGGTGAATTTTCCAGATGTTTTCAGGGCAATTTTTGGCACATTTCTCACGATAATTCCGGGGCACTTTCGGGGGTATTTTCAGGCTCTTTTTTTTTGAGTTTTTTTTCGGGATCTTTTTGGTATTTCTGTGCCAATTTTGAGATTTTTTGGGGGATTTTTTGGGCTCCCCCCACAGCTCTACGACATGGCCGAGTCATTGCTGCGCTTCATGCCGGGCCCACACCGTCGTATCCCTCGGCTCCTCGCGAGGATGAGGCGTTTCATTGCCCGGCGTGTGCAGGACAATGCCCGGACCCTCGACTCCCACAGCCCCCGCGACTTCATCGATGCCTTCCTCATCCAGATGGAGAAGGTGGGGATGTGTGGAGGAGTCTTGGGGGGCACTTTGGGGGGAGTTGGAGGGGTTTTGGGGGAGTTTTGGGGTTCTGGAGGGTTTGGGGGTGTTAGGAAAATTAATCCACAAGCACCAGGGGTTTATGTCCAAAAAGGAGACAGAGGAGTCCCGCAACTTTATTCATGAATAAAGGGAGAGCTCATGGGCATTTCCCATGGGGTGTCTCAAATTCATAGAGGACGCAGCCTCTTTTTATCCAGATTTCCCGGCTGCAGTTCCCTCTCTCTTTCCTCATTGGCTGAGGTACTTGAAAGGTACAGGCTCCCTGAAAACGCCTTATGAAACGCCCCCTTCTATCACACTTTGCCCCCTTTCAATATACAT